GTGTACATAGATGTATTTACCCCCGAGTGGCTGTACAGCGTGTTTATATGCTCTAGATTTAATATTTTGTAGACTGAAATGACTAAAATATTCAGAATGTTCTTCTTGTACTTATTTGGCATTTTGTTTATTTTCTTAATTAAATCTGAAAAGTCCAATTCATCTTTCTTGGGTCCCTTTTTTATTGAGCTCAGATTGAACCTCCACAAACATCTTAAACCTGATTAATCAACGAGGTTAATGGAAGCTTTTCTAATTTTCAGACGAAGAACAGAAGCAGCACAAAGGAAACAGAGGAAAGGAAATGAGGAGGAAATACAAAATTAGGGTGATAACTATTTAAAAGAAAAAAAAAAAATCATTCAAATATAATTAAAAATGTAATTATACGGAAATATACATTAATTTCAGGGTGAAATGAATGAATAAACAGCTAATTAAAAACTACTCAAATAAAAAATCCAAAAATTAAACAAAGAATAAATAAAAAGGAACTAAAGAAATCCAAAAAATGAAATAATTAATGAAAGTTTAAAGGCTAACTAACAGCAGAGTGGATTATTTCCAGCTCATTTCGGCCGTTTACATAGATGTATTTACCCCCGAGTGGCTGTACAGCGTGTTTATATGCTCTAGATTTAATATGTTGTAGACTGAAATGACTAAAATATTCAGAATGTTGTTCTCGTACTTATTTGGCATTTTGTTTATTTTCTTAATTAAATCTGAAAAGTCCAATTCACCTTTCTTGGGTCCCTTTTTTTTTATTGAGCTCAAATTGAACCTCCACAAACATCTTAAACCTGATTAATCTCCTAGGTCAATAGAAATGTTTCAGCTTTTCTCATTTTCAGATGAAGAAGAGAAGCAGCACAAAGGAAACGAAGGAAAGGAAATGAAGAGTAAATACAGAATTAGGATAATAATTATTAAAACAAAAACTGAATTATTAAAATATCATTAAAAATATTATACGGAAATATACATTAACTTGAGGGTGAAATGAATAAATAAACAGCTAATTAAAAACAATTTAAATAAAAATCCAAAAATTAAACAAAGAACGAATAAAAAGGAACTAAAGAAATCCAAAAAATGAAATAATTCATGAAAGTTTAAAGGCTAACTAAAGGCAGAGTGGATTATTTCCAGCTCATTTCGGCCGTGTACATAGATGTATTTACCCCCGAGTGGCTGTACAGCGTGTTTATATGCTCTAGATTTAATATTTTGTAGACTGAAATGACTAAAATATTCAGAATGTTCTTCTTGTACTTATTTGGCATTTTGTTTATTTTCTTAATTAAATCTGAAAAGTCCAATTCACCTTCTTGGGTCCCTTTTTTATTGAACCTCCACAAACATCTTAAACCTGATTAATCAATGAGGTCATTAGAAATGTTTCAGCTTTTCTCATTTTCAGACAGGAAACAGAGGAAAGGAAATGAAGAGGAAATACAAAATTAGGATAATTATGAAAGGAAAAACTAAATCATTAAAATATCATTAAAAATGTAATTATAAGGAAATATACATTAATTTCAGGGTGAAATGAATAAATAAACAGCTAATTAAAAACTACTCAAATAAAAAATCCAAAAATTAAACAAAGAATAAATAAAAAGGAACTAAAGAATTCCAAAAAATTAAACAATAAATGAAAGTTTAAAGGCTAACTAACGGCCTCGGTGCTCCGTTTCTCTCTAAATCTGCTTTAGGTGTTAAACCCTCTTACAGACGTCCCACCTGGACCCGTCGGTTCTAACTTCCGCCTCTCTCTGCGTCCTGATTGGCCGCTGAGCCCTGGATGATGGCTCTGATTCGCTGGGCGTCGGCCCGCAGAGCCTCGTTTTGGGGGTCGATCCTCAGAGCCGCTTCATAGTCGAGAAGCCCTGAAAACAAAGCGCTTTTTAGCTGTCAGAATCTGGGACGTTTTGTATTCGGGTCAATGACGTTTCCAGCTCAGATCAACCTTAATCACTAATGTCTGCTGTAACCTTGGCTAAGTGTATTGTTGGCATCGTTCTTGCTTTTATTTTATTTTATTTTATGGTTTGTTTTGCTTTATATTGTCTGTTTTCAGTGCTTGCATACCCAATTGGTATAATGTGCAACATGGTATACTTTGTATGTTTTATTTAGTTAAAATCTAAATAAAGTTCAAGTCAAAAAAAAAAATAAGAATCCGGGACGTTTTGTTAGTTTGTTTGGTTAAAACGAGGGAGATACTATGGACTGATCATCTTTAGAGCTCAACTCAAATTATGAATTAAAGCAAACCAGTCATGTGACCACTAAACTCTTAACATTTCCTTGTGATGCTTATATGGTATATTATGTGTTCTTTCTTATATATTTGCCTGCCCTGGGACTACGGATGAAAACTAGCTTTGTAGCTCTAATCCGGATTATTTACATTTGTTTTTGTACTGATGTTCATTAATGTGCTTTGTCCCTATTCAAATAAATAAATAAATAAATAAATTGGACCACAATTTATAAACATTTAGAGACTAAAAACTGAGCTGACTCTGTGGTGAGTTTTCTTTAAATGTTATTTAAGCAGAAACTGGACAGATGTCTCAAAGTTAAACCAGCAAAATAAACTGAACTTTTCCAGACTAAAAATTGTACAAAAAATGTGTTTTTAAAGGCCTTCAATGGTAGGAAAAAACATCAAAATTAGTCCTGACTGGGTTTTAGAACATAGAATAAAAGTAGAAATAAAGTAGTAAAACCTCTGTGTTAACCAACTGGATGAATGTAATAAATAATATACAAAATAAATAAATGTAATAAATGTAAATAAATAAATAAATAGATAGATAAATAAATAAATAAATGAATAAATAAATAAATAAATAAATAAATAAATAAATAAATAAATAAATAAATATCCTAATAGATGCTGATGGAGCATAATAATTTGATTTTTTTCCAAAATAACAATAATGATCTGCACTAACATTTTAAACTGGATTCATTTAAGCACAAAGCTAACTTTGCCTTTTATTTATTTTGGGCCCAGATTTGTAAAAAGCCTTTTTGATTTTTTATTGAGGTTTATTCTCTGCTGGTGTGGGATTGCGGTGATGGATTGAGGATTCAGAAACAGACTCCTGACCTTCGGCGTAGAGCTGCAGCTCACAGAAGGCCGACCCTCGGCGCACGGCGGCGCGGGCTCGGGCCGCCGCGTTAGCGGGAACCGCCGGGGTCAGCAGCTCCAGAGCCTGTAAAACCAGGGGGATTTCACTGTTCTTTTAACTCACTGACTGGCAGCCATTTTCAGAACAGAGAGTCCCATACTGCCAGAGTTTTTTGAACATTTTGACTGATTTTTCCTATGGGTTTAGTTTAGTTTTATTAGGATCCCCATTAGCTGCCACTAGTCTTCCTGGGGTCCTCACATGAAGAAATTACATTACATTATGAACAAACCATTAAAAAAATCACATTAGGAAATAATAGGAACATGAAAAAGAGTAGAAAAGTACAACATATATACACAGGTCAGTCCATCATATCATCTGCAGTTTTTGGTTTCCTTTCAATTTCTCTGTGGATGAAAAATCATAATACCTTCTACCTTTACATTTTGGTAAAGTTTTTATTTTAACTCATTGACTGGCAGCCATTTTCAGAACAGAGAGTCCCATACTGCCAGAGTTTTTTGAGCATTTTGACTGATTTTTCCTATGGGTTTAGTTTAGTTTTATTAGGATCCCCATTAGCTGCCAAATAAATGGCCACTAGTCTTCCTGGGGTCCTCACATGAAGAAATTACATTACATTATGAACAAACCATTAAAAAAATCACATTAGGAAATAATAGGAACATGAAAAAGAGTAGAAATATACAACATATATACACAGGTCAGTCCATCATATCATCTGCAGTTTTTGGTTTCCTTTCGCTCTCTCTGTGGACGAAAAAATCAAAATACCTTCTACCTTTACATTTTGGTAAAGTTTTTATTTTAACTCATTGACTGCCAGCCATTTTCAGAACAGAGAGTCCCATACTGTCGGAGTTTTTTGAGCATTTTGACTGATTTTTCCTATGGGTTTAGTTTAGTTTTATTAGGATCCCCATTAGCTGCCAAATAAATGGCCACTAGTCTTCCTGGGGTCCTCACATGAAGAAATGACATTACATTATGAACAAACCATTAAAAAAATCACATTAGGAAACAATAGGAACATGAAAAAGAGTAGAAATATACAACATATATACACATATATACACATATATATACACATATATATATATATATACACACATACACATATATACACAGGTCAGTCCATCATATCATCTGCAGTTTTTGGTTTCCTTTCACTCTCTCTGTGGACGAAAAAATCAAAATACCTTCTACCTTTACATTTTGGTAAAGTTTTTATTTTAACTCACTGACTGCCAGCCATTTTCAGAACAGAGAGTCCCATACTGCCAGAGTTTTTTGAGCATTTTGACTGATTTTTCAAGAGCCACAGAATAGTTTGTGCTATGACTATGTAAACACCGAACACACCAAAATCATCCTATTTCACCTAATTGGTCTAAAAAGATTTTTTTGATAAGGAATTAATTATCTGCAAATAATATGCCATTTTTGAGTGTCTGTGCTGTTCT